GACGCCGATTTGGAGGGTTTGGGAGAAGAGTTGGAGGGTCTAGGTGTAAAGAGCTAAGATTTCTCTTCTCCAGTGTACTCTACTAATTGTCATCTCTACTGAAAGCGTATGGCTGTATAGTTAGTAGGGAGTCCTCATTTATCGTGTAATTTTGAGTTGGGTTTCCAGGTCCAAAACTGAGCGTTTACTAAATTAAACTGCGCAGCTGTCTTTTCCTTAAGTAAAAAAACAAAAACAGACTCGGTTTCTTTTCATAGTTGTTTTACTGTGAGTTGACCTAGTTTAAGAGGTCAAAAAAAGCTCCTGGAAGTCTGTGTGCCTTGTGATTGCAAGCCGCGGGCTTCTCATCTGCGTGCTGGTGCGCTTTTAGAGTGGAATAAGTTAATTAGTGAGACAGTGGTACAAGCGCGCCTTTGTCAGTGTCCATGCATTTCTCTGCTGGAAGTCACGTGGTGGCTGTCTTAATCTCATGTGCGTTCCGTGAGTCTTAAATGGAATTGGATAGTAGCGGAAAGAAGGACGTTTTCTTCCCTCCTCCCCTCTTTTGAGCGAATGGGATGCTAGAATCGATGTTGATTAGTGTTTGGGAGTAGAAAGCTCTAGGCTATAGGTATGAAGTGGGTTGAATGTGGGAGTCGGTTGGGTCTGAGCTTCCACGTCTAGGGACGAATGCGCTTCCGGTGGAAACGTCAATTGAATTCGTTTGCAAGTGGTGGCTGGGAGGAGCCGCTGCAAAACTGAAGAGCGGCAGCGAGAGTAGTGAAGAAGTTCTCAGGGTATGTAAGACGGGCAAACAGGAATGGCAAGGGATGGAGGCTTCGGTGAGGTTACGTGGTGGTGAGTTAAAGTTCATTTGGTAAATAATCACGCGCCTCAACTTAGGGTGCCAATAAGACTTAAGCTATCGGTGGAGCTAACTGTTTCGTTGACCTCACATCAAAATCAGATTTTTCGCCTGAAAGGCCCCTTTATCTGGAGTTACCCCGATTAGTGCAAAACTGCTGGTGCTGTTTGGAGCTTCTGAGGTGAATTTATCCAAACTGCTTGATTTGTTGTTGAAAATCAAAGGTGGGAATTTGAAATGGCAACACGAGGGCGAGTTAACGGTCTGTTGACGGTTTTTCTGATCGAGACCAATCTAGATGACGACGTAAATAGGCTATCGCCGGATACTCTCAAATATCAAAGAGGGCATGCGATCTCCTCATCTCCTTGTCAAATGAATTTACTTCTGTGGCTTAAATTGTTGGCAGAAGACCAACTTT